GGTATGGATATGGATATGGGGATGGTAGATGAGAATGTTGAATGGAGATGGAGATGGAGATGGAGATGTGGATGTGAATGATGAAAAAAAAAGATTGATGGGAGTTTGGGGAGAGGGAGAGGGAGAGGGAGAGGGAGAGAGGGATTCGGATGGAAGGGGGAGGGGAAGACGAAGAGAATAGATTAAAAAAAATAAAAAATTAGAAACAGACAGAACGATAAAAATAGAGATGGAAATAGAAATGTGGGATAGGGATAGGAATATTAATATTAATATTAGAAAAAAAAAGAGAAAGGGAAAGGGAATGGAAAGGAAAGGAAAGGGAGGGAGAGAGGGAAAACAGAGGAGAAGGGAAGGAAGGAGAAGAGATAAAGAGTAAATGAAAAAAAAGGTTAGAAATATCAATACATGAGTATATCGCTATCTATCTATCTGTTCTATTCTCATCTACCTAGGGTATCTACCATACATATTAATTTCTGCCATTCCATCCATCTCATACCATACCATCCCAATCCATCCATCCCATTCCATTCCATCACTATCGATTTAAACTCAACAAACCCTCAATATACCTCTTAGTATCCAAACCCAACCCAGCAGCCCCCCACCCCGCATCCCCAGTCCCTACTCCTCCTGCATTCCCCCCTCCCACACCACCCATCCATCCCCCAGTATATCCATATCCATACCCATAACCCCTACCTTGCCCCCCAGACTCCACATAATCACTCGCTCTCCTTATTAGAAAAATCTCTTTATCATGATTTTTTTCCACCCCCTCTCTTTCCCCCGCCTCTGTGTCCAAGAACGGATGTGCAGGCCCACTGAACCCTGTACCCCCAGTTTGCGTCGTACTAATAGCTTTGCTCTTCTCGTCCTTATCTATCCTCCCCTTATCACTCGTTTCCCCCTTAAATGACCTACTTGTCTGACTTTCTGCTGAATTTTCGGGTATCAGAGTTGGTACCTTGACATTTGATGTTGTAGTCGAGACTAAATCCGTAGGCGACGGAATTCGTGTCCAGAGAATCCAATAACCTCTTGATGTTTTGGCTGTACGTTCCATGGTATTTTTATCAGTTGTGGTTGCGATGTATGTATGAAGGATTTGGAGATGAGTGTTGAGGGCTTCGATACGTGACCAGGGGAGACGATCTATTTGTTCTTGTGTTTGAACTTGTTGAGGATCGGGAATATTGGGGATATTTGAGTTGAGGGTTAGAGTTTTGGGGTCCCAGAGGAGATCGTAAATGGGAGCTGTTGGATTGTTGATATTCGCTAGAGGAGAAATGGGAATATCGGGTTTGGGTGCACGAAAAGATGTAGATTTGAGAAGGGGTTTGATGAGGGATTCAAGTTGTTTATGGAGATATTGATAAAAACCTTCTAATGCGAGGGAATCTGCTCGTAATTCAAAGAGGAATACGAAGATGAAAGGTTTCCTTGCATAAGCCACGACCCTTAATTTTTTCGTTTTATTTCGATCTTGACTTTCGAATGACGCGTTAGAGGTGGCCGTATGCTCCGAACCACTGGTGGGTCTATATGATGGGTTAAAGTCGGAATAATCAATGCTGATATCAGCTTCTTGACGAGCATCCCCTTCACGTTCCAATTCAACTGTTAATGTACGAAGCACAAGTCGATGATTTTGATCTTCGGAATCCTCGTTTTCAACATTGGGATCCATAGGTAGATCCATTTCAGTCTCAATGTCACCCAATAGACCTACTAAATAATGACCTTTGGAGTCATCAAATTCAGGTATAAGTGTCGATCTCCCAGTTGCTTCGGTGGTACCATCGATAGAAGGAATGGAGGGAGCTGAGGCACTTTGGGAATTGCTTTGTTCTTTTGCAGAAGTTCCACCCAAAGACCAATGAGTTCCGTAACCGAATTTCAAGTATTGCGCAATTGTCCGACTCGTTGATTCGCCATCCGTACCTTCAGTGCCTTCAATACTAGTATGGCTTACGGATTTTCTACGGAACGCTGGAGGTGGTTGCATGAATTGAGATTTAGGTCCATCACTCTCACTATTTTCTTCCACCAATGGGCTAGGTTCGCCTGTACTAATATTTGATGGTCCACTAGGCCCAGGTCCGTCATGAGATCCATCATGAGGTCCATCATGAATTGGGACCTCTTTACTTAGACTGGACGTTGGTCGAGCAGCATTTTTCGTATTCCCAAGTTGCTGGTCACGTCTTGGCCTAGGCCTACTTTGCTTCTTTGCGCGGCGAGCAGAAGTAGGATTGTCCAGTAATCCATAAGCATATGGACCCCATTTATAGAGATCCTCAACCCAATGTGAGACATCCCTTAGCGATTTTCTCGACAAAGCTCCAGTACCAAGGAAAATTGCGCCATCTTCTGTCGCGGGCTCGTTACCAGAACCTAGCCAAGGGGCAGATTGTTTCGGCCGTTGTTCCGTGAATCCTTTGCCGGTATCGTCTTTCGAATTCGATTGTGCGTCTCCAAATCTGGAAACTATCACATCCACGAGCCCATCCATCCGTCCAACGAACCCTTCAAGAACTTCTCTTTCCCCACTGCCTCGTTCTTCTTCGCCAACTCCAACCCCAAGTTCTCCACATGCAGCAACTTTTATTCCACCATATAGATTGTTCGCGGGGTTACCATGCATAAGCACATTCCATGTCAAGAAATATGTATCCCAATATCTACCCAGAATGCTCACAAATTTGGAACGTTTTGTTCGAACAAAGAGTGCACTCATCGAAGAGGAATGATGAAGGAGGAAGGTTGAGTGTGCTCGTAGAATATCGCCGAGGAGTAGTATCGCGGGTTTAACTTCTCGAGAGGAATATTCGATGGTTTCATGTTCTTCAGCAGATTTGCCTTTAGCAGCTGGTATCTTTGTTGTGCCTGGCAGGATCGTGAGGTTGATTGACTATACACTTTAGCGCAATTCAATGGGCCCAGGGATGAAGTTACCAACAGCCAATATCCACCAGCCAGATTCCAACTCATGAAGAATAATGCGAGATTTCTCAGTCTCTATAGTATCCACAGATTTACCCTCAGAAAAGCTTCTCCCAAATTCTACCATGCCCTGAGCAAGTCCAATCTGCCTTAACTGTTCATTCTTTTGCTCCTTCGCAAAGGCACGCGCCTCTTTTGTATCCGTGGAACCTCTTTTCTTGTGTCCATTCTGCTTGATCGAGGAGTAATAATAAACAATTTGATTGTCGAATGTATCATCGGTGGTTCCAAGGGAAGGGTTGTAGATGGCTAGAAAGCCCAGCTGTGCGGGTACTACCTGTCGACGTTGCTCAGACATTTCATGATGGAAATAGAAGTACTCGAGGATATAAATGTAGATCACTCCCGTTGATAACAAGTCAGTACCGGTAATGCTCCGCGATGGAAGATTATTTATTATGGTGATGTAATTCGTGGAACGAAATGGTATCTTTTATGCAATTTACCTAGGTAGGTATGGGTATGCTTGACCTTGCATAAGATGTTCGAGAAAATATCTGCACGTGACAGCGAAGATTATATTAAGAAATTGATGGAGGCCTTGGTGTGATAAATGGTTGGTTGAGCTCAGGAACCCCAGAAACGTTATTTTACGAAACTGTGTACTTTTTCACAATTATGAGGCTCAAGATCAGAACCTCTTTATATGTGCTGGGACGCATTGTGACTCCATCGAAGCCATTCCCAATTAATGGTTTCCATTCTGATTCTCGACTTCTTCATACCAGAAATGACTCGAGAGCTTTAAATTTGGAGCCTTTGAGAATTTTCAATTTTCATTCTCGACTGCTTCATACCAGAATTGATTCGATAGCTTTAAAGCCTCTGAGAATTCTCTTTTGCGGTTCTGATGAATTTAGTTGTGAATCTCTTCGTGCTCTGGTGAAAGAACAACGATCGGATCCAGGAGGAATAGCCTCTATTGATGTTCTCGTTCGACCAAGTAAAAGATTCGGGAGAGGCTTGAGGGAAGTTCGTGAAGGTAAGTTTGAAAATTGACAAATCATTTCTTCTTATATTGACTATCTCTAGTACCGCTGAGACAAGTGGCTAAAGAGCTGGGTCTTCCCATACATGAAAGAGATACATTCACCGGATGGGATGTAAGTTTGGATTCTCGAGTATAGTTTTGCTTCCTTGAGGGTCTTGACTGATCAAAGTTTCTAGTTACCGAAATCAGATGGGCAATCAATCAACCTTATCGTAGCAGTTTCGTTTGGTCTATTTGTACCACCACGTATCCTCAACAGTGCTGAATATGGTGGAATTAATGTTCATCCTTCCCTCTTGCCACAGTAATTCTGTCCAACATTGGTTCCTGAATCGAGGCTAACCAAGATGTAGATATCGAGGGTCTGCTCCACTTCATCATACTATTATGAACGGGGACACAATTACTGGTGTCACACTCCAAACCTTGGATCCACATAAGTTCGATCATGGTGTAGTCCTCAGCCAAGTAGGCCTCCCTATCCCACACCCAAATAAAATCCATTTACAAGGGCTTTTGGATTTTATCACACCCAAAGCGGCGAATTTGCTTGCAGAGGGCATCAGAGATCGAGTCTTCGTGCAGCCAGAAGCCAATCAAGCGGTCAGACTTGCGCCGAAGATCCGGCCTATTGATAAATACATCGACTGGGAGGCAGGATTGTCTATCAAAGTTGGGCAAAAATACCGGGCACTTGGACGACTTTGGTGCTACACACGTACTTGGTGGTCTGGCAAGGATAAAAAAAGAACGATACTCGAAGATTTCGAAGTTGTACCGTTACTAGAGAATAAACGGATCCCAAAACAAGAATTAGAACGAGTGTACCAGGTTTTCCCCAAGTGGGAGTACTTTTGTACTCTTGTGTATGAGGATCCCACTCATCCAGGAGCTATTATCATACCAACCATCGAACCAGGATTGGGGCTTCGAGTTATACACATCCTCGTTGAAGGTCAGGTGGCGGGTTCAGCCATCGATGCTGTGCATAAATTATCGGCTTTCACCGGCGACCCAAATCATGACAAAACTATGCTCATGACTGTGGCGTTGACGGATATATCGGAGGATGGCTCTAAACCAGTTTTGCGCCAGGGCAAAGGCGTTGAGTATACGACGAGGCACCTGAATATCAACCGGGCGCACCTTATTGATCCTAGTCCTAAGGAATGAGAGTTGATTATATAGATTTGTACAATAGTAGAATAATAAATCAAGCAAAAAGGTCCATAATCCATCCGATGGTATATAGTGTATCATCTCTTACTTTCTAAGTGGAGGATAGTGATCCGACCTGTGTATGATAGGCAGATGCATTCGAATGCTGGAAAAAAGGGGGAGAATGGTTGATCCGCATGGCACGATCTAGAGATGAGATCGTCCCATCGTTACGAGAAAAGATAGTGACTCGATCCGTGCCTAACAGGCGGCAGAGACGAAATACGTTCGAGATCCGGAACGAGAAAGGAGAACAGTTGGGGGATATCGTATCGCCAGAGACAAGATTGTACTATTGCTGAGGGCCAGAGGAGTGATTTGATCCATGTCTGATACGCGCTAGGGACGAAATGCCTTTGACTGTTGAGAATATGTGGAAGTAATGGTTGATTCATCTGATATATCAGCAGACGAAAGACGCTTATTGTTGAACCGAGAAGAGTTTATGATGGGTAGGACCGGAGACCAGATATCTTCGAGTACTGCAAATAGGCGAGGAATACTTGATCTGTTCTGTTTGCCAAGGGACGAAATCTTGCCATTGCCGAGAATGAGGAGAGTGATTTGACCCGTGTTTCGTAGGCGACAGCGACGATATATGCTTGGTGCTTGGATGGAGGAGAGGATATGGTCGATCCGTATGGTAGGTCCAGGGACTAGATCGTTGAACTATTGGAGTTGTGACGAGAAACCGGGGCACCCGTGTGGTATATCCAGGGACGAGAAGCGTCATATAGCCGAAGCAAGGAGAATGGTTCAGTGCGTGTCTAATAGGCACCAGGGATGATATATGCTCGATGCAAAGAAGCAGAGGAGATTGACGATTCATTTGGTAGATCCAAAGATGAGATCGTTCGAGACTCCGATATAGCGCGAGGAAGTGGTAAGAATCGTCTGGTAAATCCAAAGCGAGAAGTGTTGATCGCTGAAAGCAAAGAGAGTATCTGATCCGTGTCTAATAAGCGCCAAGGTCGATACATACTCGATGCAAGGAAGAATGAGAGGAGAGAGTCGATCCGCTTGATAGATCCAAGGACGAGATCAATTCGAATCTTCGAAATTCCGCGACGAGAAAAGGGGAAAGAATCGTCTGGTACCTCCCAATAACGATCTTGTGAATGCTCGAGGCAAACATATCATAGACTACCTCAAAGCTTTGCCAGAGCGACAAGAAGTATTATGATAGTAGGTATTTCCATGGACTGTGTATCGGAACTTCTCGCGAGTGCGATACTACAGTGGGAATTGTCGAATAAACCTGGAACCGTCTTCTGGCCTTCTCGGGAGCGGAAGAACGGTGAGGGATTGTTGTCGAATATACCTGGACTGTCTTCTAGCCTTCTCGGGAGCAGAAGCACAGTGAGGGATTGTCGAAAACCTGGAACCGTCTCCTGGCCTTCTCGGGGGCGGAAGAACGGTGAGGGCTTATCGAATAGAATAGACCTGGACTGTCTTCTAGCCTTCTCGGGAGCAGAAGTACAGTAGAGATTGTCTAATATACCTGGACTGTCTTTTAGCCTTCTCGGGAGCATAAAGCACAGTGAGGAATTGTCGAATAAACCTAGAACCGTCTTCTGGCCTTCTCGGGAGCGGAAGAACGGTGAGGCTTGTCGAAATAAATAGAGGATAGACGACTCGTATGGTCTGGACGAGACTGGGATAACCTTGCGCGTCGTGTACCTTGAGAACAGAACCTAGTCTTTTGGCAGAGTGCCTACTAATCCTAAGTCTCTCACAAGGACCTACTCAGCACGAAGGGACACCCACAGCTTATCCCCTTCCCTTCCCAGGGACGAGATCGTGAGGGCGGTCGAGGCAAAACGAGGCGAGGGGTGGTATCGTTTGGTAGGATCCAGGGACGATACAGCGATGATTAAGACGAGGAAATCTGCGAGCTCCACCACTGGAGATGGGCCCAGAACATCCCAGGGGTGAAACCCATGCTGCGGATTTCCAGATCAGAAGGCACCTTATATCCCCTCAACACGATATCGCTGACTGCCGAACTCTCTCTGCCCAAGTCAAGTTTCAGATCAAACCAGTCAGGTCCATCCGGAAGTCCACTGGTTGCTTCTTCAATAGCAATTGCAGCTCCTTGCCAGACAGTGCAGTGATCAGCCCTATCGACGCCCTCGTCATCTGGTGTATACATCATATACATTCGTTCCATCGCGTGGATCATCTCGTGAGCCAAGGTTCCCAACATTCCAATCATAACTTCGGTATAGTCATCGTCAGCGCTTCCGGTGCGAACGTCTCTAATATAGATCGTTGTCGTCCGGAAGCATTTGCTGTCAACGTAACTCGTAATCCCCAAGTTAGATTCCAGACCAACCTTTATTGCTCGAGCCTCGTCAACGACGAACTCGAATTCGACGATATTCTTCCATTCGTCATCGGCAAACTCGGCTACAACCGAGTTCTTGACCATTCCCCCGAAGAAGAATCCGTTGAATATCTCGAAGAAGTCTTTGAAGACGACGTCGGGGTCCTCGTTGAGGGGAAATGACTCCGACAGAAGGGTGTAAGCCTGGCGCCAGCACCCCTCGGTCGTAGCATCATCCTTCAACTTCGTATGGTGCATTATCATCTCAAATATATCTTCGAAGCTGTGGGACAACGGCTTTAGAGTATAGGGCTCCGACGGATTTCCGGTGTAAATGATCGGCACAGTAGGCTCGCCTGGTGCTCGATGACCGGGGTGACCTGGTGAATAATATCGGTACTTCATATCCCATGGACCTCCACGCCCAGAAGTTACCCATCGGTCACTCATTTTCGCTATCTGTACGTAAATAACGTCTGGGTTTGGTTTCGTTTGGTGTAGAGGAGCGTGAAATTCGTGGTAAGATTGTGCGATCTAGAGGTTCAGAGGTTAGCGCAGGTCTGCGAACACTTCGATTTACGGAACTTCGTCGGAAAACAGATAAATCGAGCCCTTTTCGTACCAATTGAAACAAGAGATCGATATTCAAGTGTAATTTGAAGAGAATTGGGAGCAAAATCGATGGATTTTCGAGAAAATTTCAATTGTGCGTGTTTCTTCAAGCTGAGTTATAACAGATTTACATGAAATTACTACTAATCTATGGAACAGACTTCAAGTGTACAAATCGAGTACCTGCATGGTTAGCTCCACTTTTCATTCCACAATCAGGCAATATGGGGGTGGGTCTTCCTCCTGCTGTCCTCAGGTTGTCTTTCTTGCGGCCTGGGCTTAAATTAATTGTTTGAAGACTGAGACTGCTTTTCTTTTATTGGTAACCATTCAGTTAATGTCATTTGAAAGCTTTCCTGGCATATTCCTGTGGTTTTGTAGTTTAGATATGTAGTTGAGTTGTCGGTTAATAACCGAAGGGGTAACTCAACTTTTTGACTTTTCCCCGCATAAGTTTCCGATTTGTCTTTACATTTTTGAACACTTCAAATATTCTTCTGAATATAATTGGTCAAACTTGGTTATTGTGTATGCTTATGCATGATGTTATGCATATTCAATTGAACCTTATCGGATATGAGGAACTTTTGCTTACGTACATTTTGAGATGTAGAAGGTATTTCTTTCTATTGGCTCAGGAAAGACTATACATTATATCTGTTTGTCTTCGGTATTCTAGATCTTTATTGGGTTTAAATCAGACTGGATAAATACTTTCTTGAATGTAGTGTAATATGTTGAAGCTAGTTAATTTAAAAGTTGTAATGAATATTTGTTATTATATATGTTTATGTTCTATTTCCTATACTAGTATGTTTTCTCGAAACTAAACCAGGTGGGACAGATGAGTTTCCAGGTATATCTGAGATATAATAGATAAATCCTTTCGAAAAATCCGATTAGGGCTAATGATATCTTCTCAAAGTCTTCGATATTCTGTGGGTTCCGTTGGATCTCAAGCAGACAAGATAGAAACTTGTTCAGATACATCTGTTTATGGAATGTAGTGTCTTTTGCTGTTCTATGATGATACTAATTAGTGTTTTTAAGTATTTTCAATACTATCCAGGCTTCATCATTGCCTGACCGAACGGAATAGAAAGCTGTCCACATGCATCTCAGGGAAAGGAAGGAGAGTCCTTTGATAGATTTTGATGAATACCGAGTAGCATTTGCCTTCCCATTCGATATCTCCAGTATTTCGTCGAAATTTTACTGAGAAGAATGTACAATTGTCAAGATATGCTTTAAATATAGAAGCTTGTCCTTCCCAATGAGCTGTGATGGATAGTGATTATTATTTATCAATACCTTGGCTATATATTGTATTCTTTCTGACCTTTAATGGGATGTTTCATTATCATTCTTTGTTTTACTAGTAACGCTGGGAAGTAGTTCCTCCCAAAAGCTTGCAATGAGTACTATTGAATATCTATGAACATTTTGACTATATTTCATATTCCGTTTGAACATGGTTTATGAATCAAAGAATATTGTTTATTTGTATATTAGTAGTTAAAAGTAGTTACTCCATCAGTCTATGATGAATATCACTGATTTCTTATTCAAAATCTTGAGTATACACTGGAGTCCAAATGATGATTAAGTATTAACCTTTAGTTATAGTTTGAGTTTACAATTTGATTAGTTCTAATACTCTCCGATGAAGACTAGAGATCTCTTGTTTTCAAAAATTTAAATATCGAAAAGGTTTTATTGAATATATTATCAATTTTCTAATAATTATTTAATTTATTTTTGAAAGAAAATATCTGTATATAAAGTAGAATTATAAATAGATTTATACTCGAGTACTATATAAAATTGTTTCGAAATTGAATTATTAGGATATTGTCAGGGGGCACGACCCCGACTACCTAACAGCACCTTCCCACCTCATCACATACTAATACTAGTTAGCTTTTAGCCATTAGAAAAGGAAGAAACTCTGCTTCTTCCTTTTCCTCTCCTTATTGAATACTCCATTTATCAACTGCACCCCCTAGTTTTCCACCGTGACCCTTCACAGATATCAAAATCTTTATTATCGAGCTTTTTGATCAAATATCTTTTTATAGAATAATATATAAATATAGATTGATATTATATAAAGATATTTCGGCATTAGATGATTAAGATCTTGAATATTCTAATATCGAAATAATAGTATTAGATTTTCAATTTTCAATTTTCAATTTTCAATTTAATAATTAAATAA